GGCTGCTTTGATGTCGACATCAGATTTAATCAACACGATTCTAAGCAAACATTATCAGGGTGTCTACTACCTGGAAAAACCTGGAAAACCGGGAATTTTACTTTTTCTGGAAAAACCTGGAATATTCAGGGAATTTTGGTTCCACTCAGGGAATTTTCCAATTTTTCGTAATTCAAAAGAAGTTTTTCGTTCAGTTTGTCGAAACGTTTCTAAGGGCACTGAACAAGCATCTGACAGCTAAGACAACGTGTGCGAACGAAACAAGTTCATTCAGAGAGTCTTGTCACGCTCGCTCTTCGCTAATTTGTATGTGGAGGATCAAAATCGTCGTAAAAAGGAAACAGTCGAAGAAGAAAGACTGGCAACCGTCAAAAGGAAGCATACGAAGCATGTATTGTATAAGAATAAGCATGCCAGACAGCAGGTCTGAGAGCCTACATAGATTTTTTTTTTTGAGCTTCAGAGAGGGTCGGAGATCTACTGAGAAATGTGTTGAGTTTCAGGGTAGTTCGTAGATCTTGAGAACAGAACTACAAACAAATTAAAAGTAATTAATAGAAATTCATAAAAACAAAATCACAAGACCTCTCTTCAGATCAATGTTCAAAAAAATTTTCAAAACTTCAAGCAAGCAAAAATAATTTCAAATCAATTTGTAAAACGATAAGCGAAATTTTGCAAATCTTCAGGGAAATTCGCATAACTTTAGACAAGTCCAAGAATCTACAGTGAAATATAAAGTATTTCACATAAGTTTGGAGATCCTCGAAACATTATTCAACATCAGAAAAGTTCGTAGATCTTCAGAACAAAGCTACAGAACTTTGAAAAAAATTACAGGACTTCTGAAAAAATCACAAGAATTTCAGAAATGTTATTGGATCTTCAGTAAAAATTGCAGAACTTCAGGGAAGTTCGGCAATTTAACAAAAAAATATTTACACGATTTCAGGAAAATTTGTAGATTCTGAGAGAGACATTTAAAACTTCAAGGAAGCTCAAATATTTTCAGATAAATTTTGACAACTTTAGGTAATCTTCAAGGAAATTTTCAAATCTTCAGGGTAACTCGAGAGGAATTTACAAAACATCAGAGAAGTTTGCAGATCTACTGAGAAATTTATTGAGCCTCAAGTTTTTTTTTTTTTTTTTTGTAGATTTTGGGAATAGAGCTATGGAGCTTAAGATAACTTTACAGAACTTTAAAGATATTTGCAGGAATTTGACAGAAAATTTCACACAAATTGTGAGATCTTCAGAAAAATTCGTTAAATGTCAGAAAAGCACCTCAATTCCAAAAACAAATCGCAGCGAAGTACAAAAGTACAATATTTTGCAGAACTCCATTGTAGTCGGAAATAGATAGATCTAAAGAACTTCAGAAAAGTCCGTAGACCTTAAAAGAAGTCTGTAGAACGTCAGAAAGTTCGTACGTTTTTAGAAAAATTTGCAAAACTTCAGCAAAACTAACAGATCTTCGGGAAAGTTCGCCGATCTTTAGATCAACAATCCACAAAGAAATTTAAAGAACTTTAGAAAAGTTCGGAGATCTACTGTGAAATTTACTGAACTTCAGGGCAGTTCTTAGATCTTTAGAGCAGAAATACAGTACTTTAGAAAACATTACAGAATTTGAAATAAATTTTAGGAACTTCAGAAAAGTTCAGAGGGTAGATCGTAAATCTACTCAAAAAATAGCAGATGTTTAAATAAATTTTCAGAATTTTACTGCGGTTCTTGGATTTTGAGAGACATTCACAGAACTTCAGGTATGTTCGCTGATCTTAAGAGATATTTGCACAGCTTGATAAAAATTAGAAAAACTTCAGAATACTTCCCAAAACTTCCGGAAAGCTCAAAAATTTCTAGATAATCTTTTAATTCTTTAGAAAATTGTATAGATGTTCAGAGATATTTGCAGATATTCATTGAATCATAAAATCTGCCGGAAAAAATCCAGAACTTTAGAGAAGTTTGTAGATTATTAGAAATTTTGTGAACATCAGAGATAATTGTCGATCTTCAAGGATCTTAAATCTTCAGGGATTCAGAAACTTTGTAGATTCTTAGGAAAATTTGCAGAACTTCTGAAGAACACACAGAACTTCAAAGAAATCTGTAGAACTACCGAGGAATTTGCAGATCATCAGGAATTGCGTTGTTAACATAAATTTTCAGAACTCAAGGAATCATGTAGATCTAATGAGAACTTTTCCCACTAGCTTGTCTAAAGTTGGTATCGACATCCTGGCGAAGTTCTGAAATCCATTTTCATCTTCATATCGCAGCTCTTGAAGGACAAGATGAGCCAGATCCCTGCTGGTGTTCCTCCTGAGCAACCATTTCCTACTCCACAAAGTTCACCTTCTCCTTCTCATTTTATTTAAGGTGATACTCTAAGGAAGCCTTATACCTTGTACAGACATACAAAGTTCACTGTTGTACTACCGTTGTACTGCTTTAAGCTAGTACCACAAATTGTACGTTTTGAGGTACTTGATTAAAGGAGTACAACGGTACTAATTTGTATGTCTGTCTGTGGTATTAGCGTGAAACTTCAAATGCACAAATGTCAGCTTCCACAAAACATAAAAATTTGAAATTGGTACTCTCTGTTTGTAGTACCACAGCAAACAAGGAGTAGCAATTTCAAATTTGTATGTTTTGTGGAAGCTTCCTTAGAGTATCACCTTAAAATAATAAAAGCAAATACGTCTGCCGAAACTAGAGCAATTTTCCGGTAATTCATGATGGAAGTATTTACTTTTGATTCCTGATACAGTGTTGTTTTGAAATCTAAATTGACAGTTCTTTCGACATGTGCAAGCCAGCAAACAGGGGGGTTCGACAAAGTGTGTCGAAAGTAAATTTGAGCAGATTTTTCATTATGGCGGCGGTCAAAATCAGATAGTCTAAACGGACCTTAAGAGATTGTAGACATGTGAAACCATGATTTATTCGCTCTTGATCTTCCAAACAGAGTTGGACTCAAACATATTATTAAAATGATATTTTGTTTTTGAAAGCATATTGTTATCAAATTTTGATATATCGTTTTATCGAATAGTATAGACAGGTTTCTTACTACACAAATACCAAAAAAGCATGTAATATTTAGAGTCGGTGTATAATGAGTCACGCCAAGAGTGAAGCCAAGTCTACCTATTGAGCTGTCAAACTGGCTACCTATCGTGCAAAATAAATAAACATTACGATGCTATGAAAGCTACACGAAAGGTATTGCAATAAAATATAAAATTTAATCAAAGAAATGACCATAAACACGCAGTGAGCATTTAAATTGTAATTAGATTCGTTTGGTAATCCAATGAGAATTTGTAATATATGTTGCTGATTTAATCCAACGAAATCACTAGTATAATAATTTACTGCAGCCGGTAATTTAATTTCTCGCTAGAAGTCCTTTGAAGTTGATGCATAAATCCTCTGTTGCCAAGTGAAAGAGAAGGGAATCTTTCGAAAACCGTGATGCGAGTTCCACTGTTTTTCTCTTGGCGTGACTCATTATACACCGACTCTAGTAATATTGATTGACGTAATGCATTCTACTGTATGAATAACTAATGTGATTGCAAAAACCAAATACAATATTACACCCGTGGATATAATTTCTTTTCGCAAATTATGTGTAGGATAAATGCACCAATAGTAGCGGTACTTTAGTGCAATGTGTTCCTATGGTGGCTTATAGAGTCTCCCTAAGCCGCTGTAGAAGTACATTGTACTAACGTACCTCCACTATTGGTGCATTTACTAAACATAAATTGTACAAATTAATATTAAACAACCTATGTGCATCTGTTCTGCTGTAATATTCAATAACTTTTTTGCTGTGCCGAGTTAAAAGTACCAACGCCCAAGTTTGAAGAATCGAAAATAACATAAATCAATAAGTACATAAAAGGGATTCCAGATGGATAAATAGATAAAATAATAATGTATATAATTTGTATGCACCTGGAATTTTTTTCATCCGACCTGGAAAAAACCTGGAAAACTCAGGGAATTTGATTCCTTGGATTGAGTACACGGCCAATGAGAACGACTCGAGTTCAGTTCGACGATTTGAGTTTAGTTTACTCATAATCACAAAAAGTTTAGGAACTCAGCGATGAGTAAATATGCCTCATATTTTTCTGTGGAAAACCCCAAAAAAATCTGCAGGAAAATGTGGGAATTGACCAAAAATTTGACTCAGTCTAGGGGTAGTGCTAATAGACTGAATGAATCCAAGCTTAACTTTTCTCACATTCGGGATTTTTTTTTTCTAGACAAATCTGGAAAAATTTTAGGCAAGTTTACTCATTGCTGAGTTCCTGCACTTTATGTGATTTATGAGTAAACTAAACTCCAATTTGGGTTGGTCTCATCGGTCGTGTAGAAACCAGACCAAACAGGCAAAGGCACGTGTCGATCTTCGATCATTTCTTTATCATGTGTAGCCATCGCAGCTCTTCAGAGCGTAACGTCAATGTATTTCAAAATATGAACCCAACTTCCGATGTATCATTTAGTTTGATTTATTCATAATCCCCATGGTCGTGGAGTCTATCAAAGTTCAATTTATCATCGATTCCCGCCACGTTCATTCTGGGGATTTAACCTTCTTAAAAGCTTTCGTCCGGTTGTAGTGTCCCCCCATCAATCAACGGTTATTTTTGCCGACAATAGTATAAACCCTTGACTGTATAGCCACACTACACCCCAAAAAACACAATCTATCTAGCTTTGACGTTGACTGGGGAAATTTTCCGCACACCAAAACGATTCACACTTTTTGGCTTGATCTTAAAATTCCCCTTCATTTCGGATGGGGCTTTGATTTCTCCGGTCTGGCCTTCTTGGAAGGTTTCGCACAACGTTGTCTGTCTATTTTGCCTACCAGGAGTCAATCCTTGTGTATTCAACATCGCCACAAACAAATGCCACGAGTCTAGGATGTTGTAGCAACCCTTTCTTATTGTTTATTTTACCTCCAGATTGTCGAACTGTACGCCCATGGTTGGGACACGTACGCCGAGGAGCTGCTGGAAAACATCGTTCCGGACCAGGCCTTTGGGAATCTGCTGCTGACCATCGCTGGACGCCGCCTGACCATGCACACCAAAGCCAACCCGCGCCTCTGGGGCCAGGTGGCTGCCGTGGGGCCCCTCCTGACCGACTACCTGGACACGCTAGTAAGTGTAGGGAAAGTTTATTACGTTAACAAGTAGAGCACATACACAGACACACACATTGTCGCACCCGGATTGCCGCATCCCGCGCGGTTCTGCTAGTTAGGGTAAGAAGGATGTGATTTTTTTTGCTTCTCTCTCTCTCTTGAATCTTCCTGAATCGATTTGATGGCGGAACGGGTGTTCTAGCATCAAACTGTGCTTCCCAATTGTAACTTATCGAGCGAACAGGACCCCATCTACCGGAGGGTCTACAGGCACTCCTATAGGCGTTTAAAACATGGTCTCTCGCGACCACCTTGAAGAAACTCTCAGTAAAATCAAATTAATTTAAAGTGGTTAATTCGAAACATATAAGCGTTTTAAAATTTCTCTCCCATACCTCGGCAGTGCAAAATTTGGAAATCTACATCATCAAGTCTTTTTAAAAGATGGCCACGAGAGGCCAACTGCTTTAAACGCCTATTAAATCTAGCCGAGAAGAGAGATAGAGTTAGACGCACTAATCCGTTTCTTCGTCTGTTTGCTTTTTCTGCCTTCCACCCATTCAAACAGATTTCATCGGATAATCGTGGTCCTCAGTTGCGATTTGCCGAAGGCAACGAGGCAGCTGGTGCATCCGGCGAGATTTCCATCGATAAGCTGGCCCGGCTGGTGGAGAGGGCTTTTCGCTGTTTGAGCAGTGTACAGAAGAACCCTTCCGCCTCATCGAGCAATAACAACAACAACAACAACAACGGTAGTAGCAATAGTCAGACTAGTAGTAGCACATTTTCTTCGTCGCTACAGCAGAACGTCAATCAAAGCGGTGGTGGAAATACGAAGGAACTCCGAATCGCCGGTTTGCTGTTCGATGCTTGCGCTACCATTAAGGAATTGAGGTAATTTGATTGACGTTTATTGTGGTGGAAAGAGGGAAGGGGGTTTCTTGAATGCGATAGCTGGGAAAATGTTTATTTAGTCAGTGGAGGATGTCGGTTTGCTTTGGTCCGTTTGAACCGATAGGATTTTCACTGCAATATGGCGGACGATCAGTTAAAAACCACACCCAACCGGGGTATGTCGTCTACAGAGTGAACAGGGAAGCGGGAATACAGTGACTTCGAAGAATTAATCAGATAATTTTGAGGAGATTTTAGAATGCATTCTAGAAATAACACCAAAGTAGTGTGAATGTCGGCTTCGGCACCCATTGACTGTTTTCGGCAACCAAAATTTAAACGTTAATTTCACTGTACTCAATGCTTCCATCAATAGGCATTTATTAATTTATACAGTGAAATTAACTGCAAACATCCGAAAGACATTTTCAATTTTCCAATTAAAAAAAATTAAACAAAATCGACATCCTCCCACCCCAAATTGTAGCTCAACACAGCAAACAAAAAATCTTTCCACCCCCTAAAAAATCACTTCCCGGAATTAAAATAGCATAACCGGAAGCGAACTGCGGAAACGTATCGGCAGCGACATCGACGAACTGACGACGACTACAACGACGACGACGACGACGACGACGCAAACACCAACTCGAAAGCAAACGAAACATTGTTAAAGTTTTAAACTTATTCATGACTGCATGATGGAAATGGCTAGGATTAAGCAAGAACGAGAGCGAGCTGTGTAATCCCAGGGCAAGAGCATCATCGGTAGGTACTAAATATCTGAATTGAATATAATTCCTGTTAAAATTTCAACTTCCCGACCACTGGCTGGGCAAATAGAACGAACGAAAGCCCTCGGGTTTGAAGTTGGCGGGTGTGTGGCTTCATTTCGAACGATGGATTACGGTTGGGTTTACAAATTTTGGAGGTCGATTCGTTCGTGTCTATAGGGTGAAGTTGTTCCGCGGAAAATTAATTAAAATTTCCTGTCTATTGGCTTGTTTGTGGTTTGTTTGCAGGGGTTAACAGCAAACTGCTGGATTTTGATCGAAGTCGTTATGTTCGAGGGTCATTAGCTTGATGGATAGTGGATAAATACCTTCGAGAAATTAACTTTTTGGCGCAAATGCTTGGGGAAATCGTTTGCAAATATGCACCTGCATTTCATTATAACACCGACTAATTAGCGCAATTGAATGCCATTGGATAAACTTAATAATAATTATTTGAATGTTCCGATAATTCCAAGGTAAATTGCTGACGTTGTGTGCATGCCCGTTAAGAAGAACCATCATAGGCGTAGCCAGGCAACTGGCCCCTGTACCTCAGCATCAATTTTTATTTTTCTTAATTGTTCGTTCAGGTGTCTTGACAGATGTTCAAGCTTCAAGTCAAACAGCGCAAACTTCAAAAACACTCAAGGTCTCTGAACCTTCAAATTTGCTTGAGATGCAGAAACATCAAGTTTTTCGGAGGCAATAGGTGAATTCAATAGAAACTAAGCGATCGTTCCAGCCTCTGGCGGTGAATAGGGGAACTCTAAAAAAAGTGATGAGGGCGGAATTTTCACCGTGAACCATACACGCAGGCAAAAAAACGTAATAATTCCATAAGAACCACTTATGAGAATATTAGCCACAAGAAATGAATGTATGAATTATATGAAACGGAACAGACTGCAACTGAATCATGGACGTTGAGATTACGAGTCCTGTGACTGAGCCACTCGTCTGTCAACGCTTGGGAAAATGGAATGACTGAAGGCATATAAGAGCTACCTCCTGTTAGACGAAAATCTTTCATAAGTCGTGCTTATGAAATTCATATGTGTCGTTCATAAATCGAGCCTTATGAAATTGTTAAGTGTAGGAAGAGGAAAATATTATCCGCTTTCCTGTAGAATGTATCCACTGCAGGTGCTTGAAATCGTCATACGCGTGGAATATTTTGTTTTCTGTATAGAATTTGCAGTGATCCATACATTTTTGAAGATAAAAATAAAGATTTAAAAAATTGTCCCAGCGGTTATGATATCCGGATTTTTAATGTGTGCTTATTTGAGCTGTAAATCCATTCAGATCTGTGAATAATCGAGAAATTAGACTACTTCCGATGGAAATTTGCAAGATGTGCAATAAAATATATATTATTTAGAATTTTGGATATCGTCATTATGATGTAAACAATCGAATTAAATGACATGATGGTGCATCAAAAGAGCCTATTAGATCGAACTAGTTTGGTAATTTAACCACCTTCTTGAATAATGAAAATTATTCTAAGATTTTTTTTACGTTGACTCGTCTTACGGGAAGGTACAGGGGGTAAATCGAAAATCTAAAACTTCGACCGTCACGAAAAGGTGTTAGGTTTTGAACACTTAGAACTTTGTCATTTATAAATGAAATTAAATTCCAAGTACACCAATCGATAGAAAATAAATCGGCTGCAATAAATGCTTTTCCAATTTTGCATAAAAAAACACTTTTAAAAAATTTACAAATAAAAATGACAATTTTATCACTGTTTTCATGAAAAAAAAACGTTTTCCCTAACCCAGTCGTCATAGTCGAGTACCACTTGGATGCACATCGTTCTGATTGATCCTGAAAGTTATTTATTTATTTAATAAGTCATCTATCAAAGTTGTCATATTGAATAAACAATTCGCCTGAAATAAGGTTCAGTATTCTTACTCTATTCACAAATTAAGGTGTGGACATACCAAAATCAAACGCGGGCTCGACGGATACAAATATACGAACCATTGCACAAATAGGCTGGTTGTAGCCATAGAGAGTAAATTGAAAGCTCGGTTGCATCATTGCTGACGTAACATCCTACCTCAAGCACGGAACTCAAGCAGTGACAGAAGATGAGAGCAATCGACGTCACCGTTGAGTAATTTAGCTATAAACATAGCCTGTTGTAGCTTACGTCTTCGATAAAGTATTTCGAGGTCAAGCAGATGGCATCTATCGGGATATGCTGGAAGGTAGGTAGGATTCTTAGATTCCATGATGCGTCGTTTGGAGCCCATAGAACTGAAGCATTTTCTAGGATCGGCCTTACGAGTGAACAATACAAAGCTTTTACACAGTGTGGATCCGTGAAATCCTTGGCAATCTTAGAGATGAAGCCAAGATGCAGCAAGTTAGTAGCAACAGACCTACCGGGAATAAATCCATGTTGATCTGACGAAATGTGGTTTTTTTGTAGCGCGTAGAATTTGATCACTGACGATAATGTCGAGAAGCTTCGATGCGGCAGAAAGGCTGGTAAGCCCACGATAGTTTCCATCTCATGGAAAATTCACCTAGCTCAAACGAACGGTTGAAAATGAAGGCTAGCGGCTCAGCTACTGCGCATGCGCAGTGACGGAAAACAGCAGGAGGGATACCATCCAGGCCAGGAGCAAATGAGTTCTTCAACTTTTTTGAAGCACCGATGATCATTGCAGATTAAAAAATTGAACGTGTCTAAATCAACTGCATCCAGCGCGACATTTGACGCAGCCAGTTCGGCCTCGACGTCGGACGATGACACTGGTTTGAAGATGGATGCGAAATACATCGCGAAGAAATTGCATTCTTCTTCTTCACTATTGGACTCTTTGCCATCATAGATCACATTAGGCGGAACTAATGAGCTTTTCTTTTTGCTGTTTACGAAACCCCAAAACGATTTCGGATTCCGGCGTAAACCAAACTGCACCCTCAAAACGTGTGAAGCATTCAACTTTCTGTAGCCGTCGCTCGCTCGTTTGAAGTTAGCTTTTGCAAATACGGATTTATGCGCCCGGAAATAACGTTGCCACCGTTGATATCACCTTGACTACAATCGGGGTGGGGTGGAAGGAGACTCACCTCTGCAACGAGCTGTTTATGCATCAAGCTCAATTCGCATCTACTCGATATCCGATCCGACTGGCGATTTTTTATACATATCATATTTGTGGAGAGCCGATCGGATGATATCAGGCAGGTGTGGGATGAGCAGGGTGACCAGTGAACCAGGAAATCGGAAAAATCAGGGAATTCGTAGTCACTGGGTTTGGATTTCGATGACAAATCGGGAAAAAAAACTGACTCAATCTATATATATTTATCACTTATAGAAAAACAGTTATCGCTAAAACAGTATAAGTTTGTTTGTTAAGTTGTTTGTTTTCAACTGGAGGTTTCACAAAAAATTCTTGATTATTAAATCATATTTAAAAAATATCATTTTGTGCAAAACATGACACAGTTTTTAAAAACATCGACTGCAAATTAAGCTTTTAAAAGCATATATCGCAAAAAAAATAACGAATTCACTTTTCGTATATTGTTTAGATGTTTAATTTCATAAATCACAGTTTAATACTCTTTTGAGACCTTATTTCTGATGTAACATAAAGGAATAATAAATTGAAATATCTTATCCCTTTGCATTATCTACTTGCAGGGGTTATGGTTTGTCTATCACGTGGTGCATTTTAGCCCAATGTTGTCGTGCGTCTTGCCCCAATGCTGTGGTGCATATTGCACCATGAATCAGGCGTTTTGTCCCGCTATCATTTTGGAACCAATTTATAAAATACCTTGTAGTTCTAAATCACTCGATATTCGAGAAAACATGCTAATGAACCACACACCATTACTTTCTTCTTGATTTTAGCTTCCATACGCCAGCAATTGACGATTTTGATTAAACTGTGCGTTTTGCACCATCCTACCCTACAACAGATCAGCACATCGGTATTGATTTAGAAATCTGCACCGTTGCTGAACCGGTGTTTTGCCCATCGCTGGTTGGAAGGTGAATCATTCTTTGTCTATGTAAGAGATAGTGATTAATCCCAAATTAATATCTAACAGTTACGGATGGAGATGGGTATTAGAGTGATGCAAAATTTGAAATTTTCGCTCCACAATACTTAAACGATTCCAAATCGGATCCTGACTAACCTCTCAAAATTTGAACCCATTTGGTGAGAAACTGAGATGGCACAAACCATTTGAAGTTTGTATGGGAATTACTATGGTAAAACCAAGATTTTTGTTCATGTCTATCTAATAATTAACCATATCGGTCTGCTTCAAAAACTTTCAACTGTACTTGTAGGAAATTTTCCCAGCTACAACTTTGCTGAAGATCACTTTTTGATTAAATGCAAGGATCGAAAGTTATCAATGGTTCAATGCGCTGATGTCTTACGATCATGCTCAATCAACTGCTCAGCAGACAACATTGGTGTTTCTGGGGCGTTGAATAGGACACAAAAATCATGGCTACTATGTAACACTGCAAAATACTGTGTTGCCTACAGAGCAGCTGCTTGATCATGTCATAAGTTTACCAATCTCTTAAATAATTAATAACTTTTTCCTGTCTCGTTTTACATAGAAACGATCTTCAGCAAAGTTGTAGCTGAGAAAATTTTCTTTAATAATGGCTATCGAACTGTTTCGCAGCTCAATATGGAAAAAGACTAGAAGGCAATGAACAAAAAGTTGAGATTTCCCATAGTAATTTACATGTAAACTTCAAATGGCGTGTGCGAAGTCTGTTTCTAACCAAATGAGTTGTAACTTTGGGAGGCTAATCAGGACCCGATTTGAAACCATTTAAGCACTGTGGAGCGAAAAAGTCAAATTTTGCATCAGTCTAATGGGTATTCTTCTTAACAACAGTTTGGAGCTTGTACCAGCTACAAAATTAAGCGACTTGGTCTATTTAGGAATGTTTTTCATGTTTTATTATGTGTTTGTCTTAGAGGGACCATGGGCCTTAT